ATACATATATACATATACATATATACATATACATATATACATATACATATATACACATACATATAAACATATACATATACATATATACATATACATATATACATATACATATATACATATACATATATATACATATATAAATATATAAATATATATATATACTCAGGCAAAAACAAAGGTATAGTGGACTCGCCAATAGTACTTACAGTGTACGCTACGCGTTGCCCCGATCTCTCTTTGATTGATTTGCCCGGCATTACGAGGGTACCACTAAAAGGCAGCGATCAGTCTGATGATATAGAAACGCTCACGAGACAGATGGCTCTGAGGTAAAGTTTTATGAATACATATACGTATGCTGTGGGGCTGCATGCATGCATGCATGCGGATGCATGCATGTGGGTGTGGGTGCATGCATGTGGGTGTGGGTGCATGCATGTGGGTGCATGCATGCAGTGCTATATATGTATGTATGCATGTATGCATGCATGCGGATGCATGCATGTATAAGAAACGATGCATGCGAGCATGCAATGTAGTGGGGATGCATGCATGCATATGCAAAGGAATATATGGATAAAAAACAATGCATAAGTATGCAAACACTGTGGGGCTGCATGCGCATGCAGAGGGATGCATGCATGCATGCATGCATGCATGCATGCATGCATGCATGCATGCATGCATGCATGCATGCATGCANTTTTTTTTTTTTTTTTTTTTTTTTTTTTGTTTTGCTTTTTCTGTTTCTGTTTTTTTTTCTGTTTCGTTTTCCCTTTCTTTTCATCTGTTTCACCTTTTTATTTTGTTTTTGTCTTTTGTTTTTGTTTTTGTTTTTTTGTTTTTTTGTTTTTGTTTGTATGGCTGTTCTTTATGTTGTGTATATCTTTAGGTGTATGTACACCAGCAGCGAGTGTATTTTTTTATTTGTATTATTATATTTCATGTATTTATATTTTATTTTATTTATATTTATTTATATTTATAAATTAATTTAATATTTTTATTTACTTTCTCTTTCTATACAGATATGCAGCGGACCCACGCACGATAATCCTCGCGGTTCTACCGGCCAATGCAGGTGGGGGCTGCATGCATAAAGAGAAAAAAATAAAAAAATAAAAAAATAAAATAAAAAATATATTATTTTTTTCTTTTTTTTTTCTGTGTATATGTCTACATCTGTTGCCTTATAGAAAAAAGAACAAGTGTGAAATTATAATATGGATAGAATTTTTGTCTTCAATTTATATTTATATTTATATTTATATTTATATTTATATTTATATATTTATATTTATATTTTATATTTATATTTATATTTATATTTATATTTATATTTAATAAAATATATTTATATTTATATTTATATTTATATTTATATTTATATTTAATAAAATATATTTATATCTATATTTATATTTACATTTATATTTACATTTACATTTGTATTTATATTTCCATTTAAATTAAATAAAATACAAAATATATTTAAACATAAATAC